CAGTAATACCAAAATAGTATTGTGCAACTTTTTCCTCAAATTCTCTCCATCCGTAAGTTTATATTCCATATCTGCCAACCGATCTTGTAGTTCGTCCACCATTCTTTTCTTTTCTAAATATTCCATTCTTGTTTCTGAAGCCGACAAATCAGTCATCTAAAATATAGTAAAAATAGAACAAGTTATAATATCAGGAACTACATTTATGCTATTTTTGCAAAAACAAGATAATGCACAAGCAATCCTGCCTAATTTCAAGCAATTGGTACCTTTAGTTTCTCATTTGCGGCAGCCAACTCTAGCTCCAGTATCTTTATTTGCTCTCTCTGAGAAGAGCATATATCCTAACGAAAGAAACTAGTATGTAACTAAGCTTCACAAAAAAGCATTTTACCACTTACGAGAAACAAAACCAACCTACCTCCAATGATTTCGATTTCGTTTTCAAGTTATTTAATTCTGCTAATGAGCTTCCGGTAATTTCTTTGTGCTTCTCAATTTCAACAGATTGTGCTTGCACTTGTGACATTTGTCGGTCACGATCATCCCTTACTTGCTGCAGTTCCCCTCGCAAGCATTTGGCTTCATTTAATATTGTTTCCTTTTTCTTGACAGCATCATCTTGTGAAACCTGAGGAGAATAAGACCTAAAATATATTGAACAGTTTTCTGATATATATACAGACCTCAATGATAAAAGAATGCAATGAATAGGTATCAATAAGTTTATAGCAAACCAGCTATAAAATAGTTCAGGTCGCATTCTTAAGTTGAGAAGAAAAACAGAAAAATTACATGTAAGATTAAATTACTTATTAGTTTAGAATCAGTTATTATGAAAAAATGGGTCTCAACTGTAAACTTGAATTGAAAGATAAAAAGCCGAACCACAACAAAGGGAGTTCTCCAAAATCCATTTAAACACTTGAAATGGAATATGGAAGGGGAAAAGGCAAAAGAAATAACTTAATAAGCTAATAGAAACTAGGCTGGTATAAAAGCTTACTCTTGACGAGGTCAATTGTTCTTGCAATGAACTACAATGGCCCCTTAAAGTGCTAAGGTTCTCTACTATTGTCAGTTTCTCCTTTTCTACTCGTTTGAGTGACTCACTAACTGTTTCAAGGTCATTGATTAATTTAGAATTGTATTGTTGAAGACTCAGGATATATTCTTGTGATCGCTTGTGTGTATTGTCAAGGGAGGCAGCCTGCAAAATTCAACAAAGTTCAGCTTGAAAATTAAACACTATCAATAATAATAGCATCAATTCTAGAAAGAAAGAGGAAAAAGCAAATATATAATAGATATTCATGCATTACCCTTTCATTAGCAGTTGCTATATCCTGCTGAGCTCTTTCAAGCTCTTCTTCCAGTGAAGCAACCAACTTTTCAGAAGCAAGCCTAGCATCATTTTCACTTTTATGGCGTTCAATGGCATCCTTGTTTTTTAAAAGAAGCATGTAAATAAAACATTAAAGAGAAACATATATTCAAGATTGGTTTAAGAGTTTAGTATCTTACCAGCTTTTCTGACACTTCCTTGGAAAGTTTCTCCTGTAGAGATGTATTGTTGTCCCTTAATTTAGAAATAATAGAATTCAGTTCTTCCTCTTTGTTTTTCTTCTCCAACTCTGTAGAACCAAAAGTTAATAAACTAAAACAAGCAGTAACTCTAATTAACCTTAGAAGCAATCCAATTACCTATATCAGTGCATCTTTTCACAGCAGATTTCAATGAATTCTTAAGCGTATCTGCTTCCAGTACATGATGCTCATCACATTGTTGAAACCACTTCACACAAAGCTTAAGCCTTTTATTGTGATCCGCTGCATGTTCGTATTTAGCCTACAGTAAACCATATAATAACGGACAGAAACAATTAACAGGAAATCAACAACAAAAGTTTAAATATAAAGTAAAATAATAAAAACTATGGTTTTACCTTGAGATCAAACTTTTTTGCTTTCGGCTTCTCGTTCAATATCGCTTCCACTTCTTCTTTGGTGAATTCATGATTCGGACATTCCTCAGGGGCAGCGACGGCTGCAGTAACCTCGGGGCAGTTGTTAACAGAAGAAAAGGGCTGTCGTGTTCGACCGGTTCCTATAGCTCCTGCTCCTCTTCCCATTGCTCCTAGTCTTCTCCGTTTATCTAATGGATTATCATCTCCAGGCTCCTTCCTCTGATTTTTTTTAATAAAAAGTCATTAAAAAATCGAAACATTAAAAAAGGAATTAAAAGGAAAAAGCTACAATTCATTTACAGTTGAAGGGCTGCGAGGAGGTCGATTCTGATTGCGGAAAGCCATAGTTGAAACTCAGTTGAAGTTTTGCTGCCAAGGGGTAGTCGGAATCGGGCAGGATTGAATCTGGGCCGTAGAAATGTGGAGTTGAAGGTCGATTTGATTTTTGTTGTAGATTTTGAAATTTGGGATCTAATTGGAACGTTAGGGATTTGGATAAGGAAATGAAGACATAGAGCGCTGAGAAATTGGGGAGGAGCCTCTATTTTTGAATTGATTTGAAATTAGATCTGGCGGGATTCCTATGAAATAAAAAATAACTACTTGCTTTTGGGAGTAATTTGGGCCGGGTTTTTTCCCGCTTCATTCAAGTATGGGCTTATTGACCAATGTTAACAGATTAAGTTTTTGATAATTTTTAACTTAAAAATTAGAGTAAAGTATATAAATGGTCACTAAACTTTTCAGATACTTGTATTTAGATCCTCTAACTTTAAAAACTTATAATATAGTCACCAAATATTTAGTTCATTTGCAATATGGCCCCCGACGTAACGGCCGTTTCACTACCGTTAGGGTAAATTATATAAATGGTCACTGAAATTTTTAGGCACTTGCATTTAGGTCCCCCAACTTTTAAAACTTGCAACATAGTCGTCAATTACATTCTAAACCCAAAATCTGAAATGCTTCAATTATATTCTAAATCTCAAATTCCAAAATACTTCAATTACATGCTCAATCCCAAATTCATAATTCATTTTCAAAATCTGACATAACAAACTAAATATGAAGCAGTAACCCTAAACCCTCAAAATATAATTGTTTCGAAAAAATTTAACCAACTATAACTGAATAATAAGTGATTATGTTGGGTTTAGGGTTATGTTGGACCTAAATACTCGATTCAGTTTATAAAATAGTTGACTCGAAATTTTTTCGATTTGAGTTTATAAAATTTAAATCAAGTTGAATTGAATTGAATTTTCGAGTTTCTGTTTAAATTTAATTATAATATTTATCATATTATAATATTATTTGATTCTAATTCAGTTCAATATATAAAATAGTTTACTCGAAAATTTTTCAATTTGAGTTTATAAAATTTAAATCAAGTCGAATTGAATTGAATTTTTGAGTTTCTGTTTAAATTTAATTATAAATATTTATAATACTATAATATTATTTGATTCTAATTTAAATATTATTTTAACAATATACAATACATATATTTCTTCATATTTTTTCCATATGTGATATACATATATCATACAGAGTCAATAGACTTGACTCAAACTTAAAAATTAATCCACTAATTACTAAAAATTTTGAGATATTCGAGTTGTATTTTACAACTCGATTTTAACTTGAATTTTTTTTAAGTTGAGTTTATGAAATTACAACTCAAAGTCAAGTTGTATCAAATTTTTTGAATCAATTCAAGTTGAAAAATAATTTTTTCGAATCGAATTGAGTATTGTTCACTTATAGTTGGTTAAATCCAACTTTTAAATCCTAAACCCAACATAATCACTTATTGTTATGGACCCAAAATGAACTAAATGTTGTTGATTATGTTGGGTTAATTGGTAGAGAAATTTAGTATTTAGGGTTATATTTTGAGGGTTTAAGGTTGCAGCTTTAAGTTCAGTTTGTTATGGCAGATTTTGAGAATGGGTTTTGAATTTGGGGTTGGGTATGTAATTGAAGTATTTTGGAATTTGAGATTTAGAATATAATTGAAGTATTTTGGAATTTAGGGTTTAGAATGTAATTAATTACTATGTTGTAAGTTTTAAAAGGTGGGGGACCTAAATGCAAGCGCCTGAAAATTTCAGTGACCATTTATATAATTTACTCTAACATTAGTGAAACGACCGTTACGTCGGAGATCATATTGCAAATGAACTAAATGTTTGGTGACTGTATTGTAAGGTTTAAAAGTTGGGGACTAAATGCAACTATCTAAAAAGTTCAGTGACCATTTATATATTTTACCCTAAAAATTAATACTCTCTTCGATTCAAATTTTTAAGATGAAAACTTTTATCAAGTTAGGTGTAAACATATTTTTTATTTTTACTTTTATTTGATAAAATAAGGATTTAATTGAAAAAATTATTCTAACAGTTATATATATATATATGTATGTATATGAAAGTTATATTATCATTTTAGCTAAGCTTGGATCATAGATTTTTTAACCTAATTTTGAACTTGACTTGAACTCAATTCATTTTTTTTAAATGACCTTTTCAAATTGGGCCTAATTAAAATCTATCGGTTTATGTCAAATTGCCATCAATATTTGCGGTCGAATAAAAAATTGAAAAAAATATAAAAAATTGATTCAGGTCATAATATTTAGGTGTTGATAGTTTATAAATTAAATAATTATGATTAGTTCAATGGAATTAAATTTTAGTTTTGTTTAACTTATAATATAAAATACATTCTATTTTAGAAATAAAGCATATGAATTAGTTGTTTCATATTTGAATATTGATGTTAAAGTGGATCAAGGAGTTGAACCACCAGTGACAATAGTTGAAGTGGACATTCAAAGTCGAAATATTGGGTAATCCACGTGGCATAACATAAACCAGGTCTTATGAAATCCAATCCAAATTACCCAATGACAATACCATCGTCAGCCACGTGTCTCGCAACAATTGGTTCGGACCATATCTAACTTATCCAAGGTACAAGATAGCAGATAAGGTGTGTGCGTGTGTGTCCCAAACCAATCTAATCACATAAACCATCACTAAACAACATAATCCCACATTTCTACTTACCTCTAGTGTTGTTGAAAATCATTTGGTTGCTTACATGGCACAAGCAATGGCATCGATGGCTGGTTTACGTGGCTCCTCACAGGTTGTGCTCGAAGGCAGCCTCCATCACGGTGGCCGTACCCGGTTGAACACTGCTGGTAACAACCGAGTGGCTGTGGCTAGGCCTGGTTTCACCGTCAGAGCCCAACAGGCACCTGCCGAGACTGAAACTGGACGAAGAGCCATGCTGGGTCTTGTTGCTGCTGGTTTGGCAACTGGCTCCTTTGTTCAAGCTGTGCTTGCAGATGCTCGAAGCATCAAGGTTGGCCCTCCTCCCCCACCCTCTGGTGGATTGCGTAAGTCCTCGATTATCCTTCCAATTCATGCACATCTTTTGATGGTTAAATGAACACTTTACTTGATTTGTGATGGTTTTAAAAAATGGATAATTGCACCAAGAGTCATCGAATTATCATTTAGAATTTAAATTAGTCTTTACTTCAAAAGGTTCTTAGTGAATTCTCAAAGCATCAGTATTATATCATTTAGACATTGCATGTTAGTTTGGATTTGAAATGGAATATATTTAACATACATGTATCAAACTGTAAACATGTACATCTAACTCATGTCATGAACAACTTGGAGGGACTAAAATGCATTTTTTTCCAATAATTTAAAAGGCTAATAGGGACTAAACCGAACTATAAACAATTGTTTATAATTTGATCTATATGCTTTAGATATGTTTTATATCTCATTTGAGTCTGAGTCTAATGTCCAACCTATTGATTAGGTAAATATAAGGACTTGATCAATAAGATTTGATATTTGAGGACTCAACTTGAACAATTTAAAGTTTGCTATCAATTTAAAATCCAGGTCATAGTATAAGAATATATAATGAAATTAACCTAAAAAATACATAAACCAAGCATGAAAATGACGAGATTTTTACCATAAGCTGTTCTAGTCTTCTAGGTGATTAATGAGATCTAAAATAGATTCATTGTATATGTGAGGTCGGCAGCCGGAACTCTGAATTCCGATGAGCCGAGAGACCTCGATTTGGCGTACAAAGATCGGTTCTTCATCCAACCACTCACTCCTGCTCAGGCAGCTCAGAGGGCAAAGGAATCAGCCAAGGACATTCTTGGTGTCAAGAGCTTGATTGACAAAAAGGCATGGCCCTATGTCATGAACGATCTTCGGCTCAAGGCCGAGTATCTCCGCTACGACCTTAAAACCGTTATCTCCTCCAAGCCCAAAGATGAGAAGAAGTCTCTCAATGAACTCACAAAGAAGCTCTTCAACACCATTGACGGAGTAAGTTTCGATGTTTTTACGGACCGATCCGTGTTATTCAACTAAATGTTATAGCTTATCATGAATGATTTCTGATATCGGTTTTGTTTTTGGTATAGCTTGACCATGCAGCCAAGATCAAGAGCACACCCGAAGCAGAGAAGTACTATGCTGAGACTGCATCAGCTTTGAACGATGTCATTGCCAAGCTTGGCTAAACACAAATTGTTGTATTTTGATGTAAGCATTGTTTATCGTTTGTAGAGACACATTCTCAGTTTTCTGCAACTACTTTGCTCACCCGAAAGATTTCGATTTAATTAACAAGAAAAGGAGAAAAAAAACCAGCCATTAACATGGTTACGTCCAAAATATCAATACAGATGATTGAAAAAGAATGTAGTATTGGCTTTGTTACAAAGCTTGGAGAAGTAAGGAAAGGCAAGTTAGGCTGCATTGGTGGTGGCGGCGGCTCGAGATCTATTTGATCGATCTTCTCGGGCTTCCGCGGTGGCTGATACGTAGTAAGCCACAGTGAAAAGTCCATGAATGAAACATAGAATTCCTCCTATCGATAAAAGATGATGATGGGATATGCCGCATGATTTCCTTGACTTCGAGTTTGACAGTGCCCCTATGATCAGCATTGTGAATCCAACTGCTAATGTTATCCTGCACACAGAGGGACATAACAAGAGACTTATGTTGTTCGAAATCTTCATTTGTATCGAAAATACCGAGTACAAATACGATACAGCAAGACGCGATCAAGAAAAAGTTATGGCACATTGCATAACTTCCAAAAATCTCTAAATACACAAAAAAACTTGGAAAAGAATTACATATATACCATGAGAAGATGAGGGAACTGACGGCTAATTGTTTATTAGCAGATGCTTTGTCCAAGTCCTCCTTCGTCCAAACGCACACGCAACCACCGAGCAAGTTCCCAACAACATGGGCGAGGCCGAGAAGTACCGATGCCGCGAGTCCGAGCTTGTAAGCCTGCAAACTGGGGTCTCTGCACTCAAAAATCCACATCCTCAAATGCTTCACCTGTTTACCAAAGAACCAAAGGATCATCCAAAAAAAGAAAGAAAATGAAGGACACAATTCTATTTACATGATAAGCCTCTAAGGCATACCTTATTTTCAGCTATTTCAGCCTCGATGCCAAGTACCCCAGCAGTAATGTCCAAAGCCATGATCAGTATACAAACCAGAAACCCATAGTTTCTTGCCACGTTTACCATAATAATCTAGCATGGAACAAAAATGAATAGGGTTGCAGACCCTTTATAAGGGCAAGTTGCAGTGTAAATGAAGAGGAGAATACGAATAAAGTAGGGAACAGGAATGCAGATTAGTAACAAATACGAAAGTGGTATAGTTTTGGATTAAAAAAAGCTTATTTTTGCTCGTACATTTTTCCTTTATTCTTTCCTTTCCTTTTTAAATTCATATTCCTTCCATGGATGACAAGAAAAGTAGAATTTTAGAAACATTGATCAATGCCTGAGATCTGTTTTAGGTCTTGGCTTAAGGTTTCAACAGCTAATGGTACCCAAATTTCATATTTCTTTAGCTGATGAATCAAACATTAAATGGCATGCATCATAACCTTTGCTGGTAGCCTGGAACTAACTTTAACGGAAGAATGACGTGCTTTACAACAATGATTCGAGACAAGTCATGTATTCGAGTTGATGGATCTTATTTTATAATGTAATTTTTTTTTAAAAATTTGAGCCTTGTTTATGAAATTCGAGTTGAATTGAATTATTCGAGTTTCTGTTTAAATTTAATTATAAATATTTATGATATCACTGTATTAATTGATTTTAATTTAAACGGTTTTTTATAACTAGATATGATATGCATATATATTTCTTAATATTTTCCCATATGCACATATATCATACAAAATGACTCGATTTGAATCTTAAAATCAATCAACTAATTATTAAAAGATTTGAGTTGCACAAGTTTTACTCACACAGTCACACTTTATTTAAAAAAAATTAAAGTTAAGCCAAATTTATAAAAAAACTATAAATCAAATTAAACTGATTTTAATTTTTTTATTTCAAATTGAATAAAAATTAATAATTTTTTAATTGAATCGAATTTTACTCTCTACCTTTTTATGAGCCCATTTGATTTTTCTTTATGAGCAAACAAGCGAAAGCCCAACCAACTAACACAAACATAAATTTTCATTTTCTTACAAGAAAACTCAAGCCTTATCCAATTAGAGGGAAAATATATAATATTACACGAAAAGTACAGGTGTTCGGTGGGTCTCGATCATGGGAGAAACTTTTCTCTAGAACCAACTCAAATCTTCACATTTTATCAAATTCCAAATAAAAACTATCTACAAATGCTTATGTTGGGAGATAAAATCCTGGGAACTCTCTCATTTCCTTTCCCAGAAACTTAGAAAAGAGAGGGTGAAAAAAATGTCGCTGTATTACAAATGGAAGAAGTTCGAGGAAGACGAGGATCGACCCGAGAAGCCTCGCCGGTTTGGGGTCACGGAAATGAGGGGACCCAATCACACTCTCTTGACCCAGAACGTCCTCCAGGTATGGAAATTCGATGAGTTGTTTTTTATGTTTTGATCGACCTCTTTGTTTGCTAAAAATTGATTCTTTTATCAGGAGATATTTGAGTCAATGGGTCAATTTGTAGATGGGTTGAAATTCTCTGGTGGTTCTCATAGCTTGATGCCGAAATCATTTCTGAAACAAGTGATTGACATGGCTCACCAGCATGATGTTTATGTTAGTACTGGTGATTGGGCTGAACATATGATTCGTAAAGGTCCTTCAGCTTTTAATGATTTTGTTGAGGTACAGTCATACAACTGAGTTTCTACTTTATACCCACATGAAAATTTTGTTGCTTTCTGATTATGGTCAGCGTTTAAAGATGATGTGAATTGCTTTCCTTTCTGATATTGTTTAATGTTTAAAAGGAGTGTAAACAAATGGGGTTTGATACAATCGAGTTGAATGTGCCATCACTTGAAGTTCCTGAAGATACTCTGTTGAGATATGTGAGATTGATTAAAAGTGGTGGCCTAAAAGCCAAGCCTCAGTTTGCTGTCAAGTTCAACGAGTCTGATATTCCCACTGGTGGAAATAGAGCATTTGGGGCCTATGTTCCTCCTCCTCCTCCTAGATCAACTGGTATGAGATCATTCCTCTAATTGCTTTTGTGTTTAATGATCCCCATTTGTGATGAGGACTTTGAATTTATTCAGGGGAGTTGAATTTGGTAGCTAATCATACTCTTTTTTATTGATTTCCATCTCTTTGACCCTTTATTTTGGGTATATGAAGATGTCATGGCAATAATGTTCAGCTTTAGTACTGGTTAGAGTGGAACCATTGAATATGGAATGTCATGTCCTCTTGCTGCTATGATTGTTTTGTCTTGAAATTTCTTTGGATGAGCAATTTTTATCAAGATTGTTAAGGTTAATTGAGAGATGCAAATTCTTCATGTGCTTCTCTATCATTTCATCAATCATTCTTCTTTAAGTTGTATTAGTTTTGAAGAGCTCGAATTTTGCATTTTTTTACCTATATTTACAGAACTTGTTGAAGATGTGGACCTATTGATCAGAAGGGCTGAAAGATGCTTAGAAGCTGGTGCAGACATGATTATGATTGATGCAGAAGATTTATGCAAACATGCTGATTCTGTACGGGCAGACATAATTGCAAAGGTTATTGGCCGTCTTGGTCTCGAGAAGACCATGTTTGAAGCTTCAAATGCTAGAGCCTCCGAGTGGTTTGTCAAGCAATATGGACCAAGGGTATACTGGATTTTCATTAAGTTTCCCTCGCAATTTCTAATGATCTTTTTGTTGTATACCGTTTGCATTCATGATTTTGAGCTTTCAGGTGAACCTCTTTGTGGATCACTCTCAGGTAATGGATTTAGAGTGTCTCAGAGGACGCAACCTGGGGAAAAACCACTCCTCGGTTCTTGGTTCTTCCTATTTTCTGTTCTGAACTAGTGAAGATTTCTGTAGAGGACGCAACCTGGGGAAAAACCACTCAGTTCTTAGGTCTTCCTATTTTCTGTTCTGAACTGGTGAAGATTTCTAGAGACGCAACTCCTTGGTGGTAGTTTGTCGAGTAAACACTGTTACAACTTACTTTTGATGCCTCATGTTTGTGCTGTGAGTGTGAAGTTAAATGGAAATGAAAAGATTATATGCTATTATTGCAATAAATTTGGAAGAATTCTTGTGTAAGAAACAATGACCATGATACTTTGTTTATGGGTCCAGTTTTACCAAATGTGCATGCATCTTTTCATCTTTCAGTTAAAGAATAACCGGCAGTCCCTTTCAAGTCCAGTTCAAAAGTAGTGTCTGCTGCCACAGCACAGTAGGTTTCCGATTTCATCGGCTTATGAATCTCTGACAGTGCCAACACAATTTCCCTCGTCGTTGGCCTTTTTCTCGAGACAGGATTTACACAAGTATAAGCCAGACCAGCCATGTGATTCAGTTGTTGAACATCAAATTTTACTTCAAGTCTAGGATCTGCAATCTGTTCCCGCCCTTCATGGTCTCCGGCACCAATAGCCACCTATTCAATGTCAAAGGCCTTTTTCATATGTGGACGCGATAGGCACAGTATCAGTTTAAGCAAAAGCTAGAATGGTTTAGACGTACAAACTCTACAATTTCCATGAGACCCTAGTCAGCATTGTTGCCGCTTATTATCTCGAACAGCAGTACACTGAAACTATAAACATTGCTTTTCCGAGTAAACGCCAATGTAGATATGTACTCGGGATCTATGTATCCGAAAGTTCTCTTCACATCAGATGAATGCAGATCACTATTCTCCTGTCTCGAAATTCCAAAGTCAGCCACCTGCGCAATTTGGCAAATATTAAACCTCAGAGATAGGGGAAATAAACTAGCAACAGAGAACTGAAATCATATCCTGGCTTTCATGGAGCCATTCAACAGTATATACGATGATTTGATGTCACGGTGCACGACCGGAGGAACAGCCTGTTATAAGTGAAGCTAAGTAACTATAAACCGGAAACCTTAAACTCTTTTAGTCTTGCAGGTTCTGAGACAAACTGAAATCAGAACTTACCCCGTAATGAAGATACTCTAAACCCCTTGCCACATCGAGCGCTATCTGAACCCTCAAATTCCTGCTCAAAGTCTGATGATTTTCAGCTGCGATTCGAACACAATGAAAATGTTTGAGGACTTGAAACTATTGAAATTGCAGGATAATACATGAACTATTTACTGTATCTTTCTTACAATATAGATGGGAGGCAAGACTTCCATTGCTTATGTAAGCATAAACAAGCATATGTCGTCCTCTTTCTGCACTATAGCCCATCAGGTTCACCAGGTTCCTATGGTGTAATCTTCCAAGCAACAGAACCTGGGAATAAAACATCAAAATATTTATACCTGCGAACTCTGCCTTCTATTTTCTCCTTAAAGGCTTAGAGAAACCGGGGAAAAATCGACCTTAAAGCACATTTCGTGACCGTCACCATTTTTAGTCTATAATTACCTCTGTAAGGAACTCCATTGCCCCTGCTTATTGGAATCATTAGCAAGCACTTTAACAGAAACATCAGTTTCCATTCGAGCTTTGGAGATGGGACCAAACGCTCCTTCACCGATAGTCGTCGTGAAATTACTAGTCGCTTTCTGTGGCTGTCTGCAAAAACATTCGAACCCAGGTTGTATGGGAAAAGAAGAAAATAAATGAAAAGAAAACCGGAGCGATTGTATTTGTTACAGTATTGGTATTAACTTTCTTGTAAGAGTACTTTGGTATGCCACATGCGGATTCCACGCTCTTCCTCCTAAGCCCTTCCAATCATTGGGGCATGTAACTCCATTCGGATGTTCTAGGGAAATCTCGACCGACGTTCAAATCCGAAAACTGCACTCAATTGTGATCCACTAACACAGATCGGAAGCTTTTCGGTTGTAGGAAGAACCTTCCCCTTATTAATGGAACGATCGAGACGCTTCCTTCGATACCTAATGAACCACATTACAGCCATGGCCGAAACAAAACCTATTCCTACTCCAATGATGATACCAAGAACTAGTCCGAATCGGAAGATTCTCATTTCTTTAAGCTTATTAAGATAACCAAACTGAAGTACCCAAGATTACGATGGACTAGTTGAACTCTTCTACCCCTTGGACAAAAAGACATGTAAAATGGGAGTAGAAGGATGTATAGATTTGATGATTTATCACAAGAAATTAACCTGTATCTTTTATGTGTTTCCTTGTTTGGATGATTCAGGGTGGTGAAATATGGAAGGAAATGAAAACTTACTAATTACCGGGGGCGAGCATAGCGAGGCCCAAAGAGACCTCGCCCCTTGTGAAATTTGTATATTTGATATAATTTTGGTCTAACAGTATTTAATTAAGTATGACCGAACTAATAAAGGATAACTCCGAGTTCTCAAAATTTTTGGTCAAATAACAATTTAGGTCATTGTAAATCTTAATATTACACAAATTAAGTGTTATCTAGTGAATTTTGAGTTTTTTTTCTTTTTATAAATTTAGGGTGAATACAAGGTAATATATGTACAAAGACTTTCAACTATTTAACAATGAATGCTCATACCTCACATAAGCAGTGCTCGAACTTAAGACCTCAAGGATAACAACAATCGCTTAATCACTGAGGTTGCTTAGTTCATGCTGAATTTTGAGTTTAAATACTTAATAAGTCTTTATATTTTTTAAATACTCTAATATTTCGACCATTGTCAATATTTAGTTTTGGTTCCTTCTCCGCTTATTACTTAATTCTTTCTTTCGTAGTGCCACCTCAACAAAAATCAAGCAGTAAAAATATTTTCAGCTTAGTTTGGTGTAACACAAAATATGTAATTAATCAGTTGCATACAATTATAGGTTAATATCTTTTTAGTTCCGTATTATAATTAAGGGTATAATATATAATATTCCTCTGATTATAGGGTGTTGCTTTATTAAATCCTTTGACTATTAAAAGTTACAAAATTATCATTTGACTATAGAATGCTTTATTAAGTCATTCAAATATTAAAAGTTACAAAATGATCATCTGAATATTTTTTATATTCCAAACTCGTCATTTTCCATTAAAAAATTAGTGGTTGTCTAAGTTTGATGTTAACATGATGACTGAGATATGATAGTCATTTGAGATTTTAAGATCATATTTTATCATATAAGTCAACATGTTAATGTTTAGCTTAGAATACCATCAATTTTTTAACAGAAAATGACGAGTTTGAAAAAAATGAATAGTCAGTCAGTTGACCATTTTGTAACTTTTAATAGTCGAGGGACCCAACAAAGTAACACTCTATAATCGGAGGACCATTTGTAACTTTTAATAATCGATGAACTTAATAAATTAGTATCCTATAATCATGGGATCATTTGTGTACTTTACCCTATAATTAAATTATCAATTTGATATTTATATATTTCTTTTTACCAATATTATAATTAATTTATTTAAAAATAAAAAATAAAAATTTTATATTAAGATTCATATATATTATTATTAAATAATCTTACATTTCAATAATAATGCTAAATTTACATGTCATATTTATTTATTTATATATAAAAAATTTTAATACGACTTGTAAATTAAAAAGAGAAAATAACTCCAGTGACAAAAAATGCCTTATAATATACGATTTTAACCAATTTTTTTTGGATTTGCCAAAATGACCAACTAAATCGCAATGCGATCGATAATTCGCAACGCGATCTCCGGTATCGCAAATCAATTTCCATATTCGCAACGCGATTCTGACTATCGTATTACAATTTTCCAAATTCGAGTTGCGATTTTCCTATTCCGCAATGCGAATACGTAAATCGCAATGCGAATACGTAAATCGCAATGCGAATACGTAAATCGCAATGCGAATACGTAAATCGCAATGCGAATACGTAAATCGCAATGCGAATACGTAAATCGCAACGCGAATCTGACTATCGCAACGAGATTATGACTATCGCAACGAGATTCTGACTATCGCAACGCGATTCTGACTATCGCAATACTGAATTTCAAATTCGCAACTCGATTTCTGAATTCGCAACAGGTTTTAGTTTCGCAACACAAATGTTTTGGGTATATAACTACACAGCAGCAACAACTCATAACCTAAATCCCTAAATCGCAACTCATTCCATCTCCATCTATCACTCTTTCCGGCGACATCCGTTCCTATATCCAATGACATCTTTCCCCATCCGGCAACAGGTTTTAGTTTTGCAGCTCGTTTGTTTAGTAAATTAATTTACAATAATGAAATCATCTAATGTTGATCATGTTTGGATAGATTTGTGTTTTGGAGGGTCATGGGAGAATGTTCATGGTGTTTTACAATATATGCCTTTACCCATGAATCTTCAACTAAAACTGTCATTAAAAAAGTTAACTTATGAAACTCTAATGTTACGTGTTGCAAATAAATTGAATTTAGAGCCCCTAAGTGAATTTAGGCTATCTTATCAGAGAAATGGTAAAGTTTATTTGTTAACCGACAATGAAGATGTTGAATGATTCATTGCTTATATTAGTGTTTCAAGTGATGATGTTACATTGTATGTTGTTGAACCTAGAAGTAGTGAAGTTGGGTCAGTAGCGGGTAGTAATCAACTAAGTTTTTCAACCCCAGTTTATGGTGCTCAAAATTTAATGATTCCACCACAATTTCATCACCAAGCAAATATTGTTTCACCACATTTCCAATACCAAACACAATCTCAAAACCCACAACCTTTCCCTAATCCAAATCCCAATCAACTTTCAGCACCAAATTCCGGTTTTCGTATTGATCAGTTAGACGATGATGAGCCAACAGAAAAAATTGTGAGTACTAGTCAGTATTCAAAATTTGATCTTGGTCAATACCCGAACTTTGATCTTGGTCAATACTCAGATTTTGATGATTTTTCAGAAAAAGAAACAGACCCTGTGTGTAATGATTTTGATATTGGTCAATACCCGAATTTTGATGATGAAACAACCGTTGCCGAGGAAAATGTTGTTGATGATAATGAGGAGGAAGTTACGACTGTAAATGAACATGTTGAACATCCATTATGTAATTCATATAACCCTGAAGAAGAAAAAGAAGAAGAAGAAATCCCCAAAGAAAAGTCCCCGAAGAAAATACCACGGGAGTATAACTGGAATATGCCAGAATTACTTCAGATAC